GCCATCTGCTCAGGTCCTGGGTGCTGATGGCGGTTGAGTCTCCAGGATCCCCAGAGCAGCCCCCTTCAGATCCTGTGGGGAAGGGGCTGTCACCTTGTGAAGATGCTGCTTCCGATGGCTCTGGCCCAGCCTGAGATGTTCACGGTTCTCCCAAACCCTGGTGACAGTGATGCTGCCACCCTCTGAGAAGAAAGGCAGCGGCAGCCACCCCTGCCTCGCCCACTCACCACGCTCTGCCCCCGAGTGTCCCCGTGCGCCAGGTCGGCCGTCCACTCAGGTCCTGGGTGCTGATGGCGGTTGAGTCTCCGGGATCCCCAGAGCAGCCCCCTTCAGATCCTGTGGGGAAGGGGCTGTCACCTTGTGAAGATGATGCTTCCGATGGCTCTGGCCCAGCCTGAGATGTTCACGGTTCTCCCAAACCCTGGTGACGGTGATGCTGCCACCCTCTGAGAAGAAAGGCAGCGGAGACCACCCCTGCCTCGCCCACTCACCACGCTCTGCCCCCGAGTGTCCCCGTGCGCCAGGTCTGACACTTGTGGCTGCGGCTCTGCCCCAGGGCTTTCTTTGGCTACCAGCCAACTCGACCTGGACCACAGAGACAGGCAGGAAGTGCCAAAGCAGCGGTGGCTGGTGGCTGGTGGCCCTCCAAGTCCCCAACTCCCAAGGTCTGCAGGAACCTCCTGAGGCCGACTCTCTTTATCCAGCTCCTTCCTTTTCCAGAACTGCTTGGTGCACATCTTTGTCTCGATTTCTGCTCCTGCAGAGAGCAGCTGCCAACCTGGTCGGTTACGACCATTTCTGGGCCTCTGAGCAGAAGGAGGGTGGACCGGAGCCTCTCAGGAGGTTCAAGGACCCCACTCAGAAACCAGAGAGGAGTCTGGGCTCCCAGGAGCAGGAAGTGTAGTAACTGGTGTGGTCCCACCTGGGGCTGCCACCTCTCCCTCCCTCCATCTTTTTGATGTCCAGCTGCCTGTGTCTGTGGTCAGTGGGGGATGGGCACAGCCCCTACCAAGACAACTCCCGCAGGGAGTTACCTGTAAATACAGATTAGAAGTAGGATGCTGAGTGCACCCTCCCCCAAACATCCTGTTGATGGCAGCCCTGGGGGGCACCAGGGACAAGCACAGGCGGTGGGTGAAAAGGATATTGTTGATGAAAATGCTGAATGGCACCTGGCTCCAAAGAGACAGTTCCTCCAGGTGGCCTGCAGGCTGGGTGTGCTCCAGCACTGAGATTGCCCTCCGGAGGAGGATGTGGCCTTGGCCCTGCTGTTGGCACAAAGTCATTTTACTTCCGATTGCTCTTTGCATCAGGAATCCTCCTCTTGTCCCAATGGACTTCAATGGAGTGGCTCTGTATCCTGTCAAAGGAACAGCGGGAATGGGGTCTAAACTGGCATGCTAGCGTTTCCTCCTCCTGTTCTGGAGGAAGGCTGCGGAAGCAGGAGCAGGCGGCGTGCCACCTCCCTGGGGAATCAGATGGCAGAGGCAGGGGACTGGAGAGCACAGGTCCTGCTTCCCAGATCTGAGAGATCCCAGTGTATGAGAAAGGGGAAGGACAGGGCCTGAAGGCAAACCGGCTGAGGCTCTTTGAGGGGGTAGCTCCTGCCTCTGCAGAAAAGAGCAGACGTTGGACTTGACCCCCCACTCCAGAGCTGGTGACCCCCACTGCGCTCTTTCTCTGAGGACTCTGGTCTCCACATCTGGTTTTTATGGGTTTGAGTCCAGGCCCATCTCACAATCGGGAAAGTCCTGTTCGCAGTAGCTCAAGTCAAGGAATCCGAGAAGGGACCTTGCACAAGAGCTGTCCTCTGAGAGCCGAGGCTGGAAGGCAGGGGTGCATTGCAGGCTGAGCCAGGGGCCCAGGTGCTGGGCTGGGCTCCTGCTCGCCCTCCTGCCCACTTCTCTGTCCTGCCTTCTGGTCCTCTCAGTGTTGGTTCATTCCTCGGTGATGAGTTCCACATTGGTCAGCGGCCAGTTTGAGCTTGTATGCCTTGGGGAGGGACCTGCCCGAAGCCCCTTGCCCTTGATCTATCTGCAAGAGCGGGTGCCAGTGGTACCAAGGTGTCTGTACGGACAGTAGGAGCTGGGGCTGGGGCTGGGTTCTGGGAAGCGGGCCGTGTAGACTCACTGGCAATGATGGGTAGGGGGCAGGCCCTCGCCCCTGGAAGTGGATGTCACTGTGGAGTCTCCGCACAGCTTTAGCCTGGTATTCCCTGGCATTGGTTTTTCCACTACTGGCCAGGGTGTCCTGTATCCCCGTTTTGGGGGGCTCTGTGTAAAACACAGACTCTGGAGCCCCATCTCGGACTCCTGCAGGGCAGACCAGAAGCTGACAGTCATGAGTGCCCACCCAGAGGGTCCTTCTGTGAAAAGTCTGACGGTCCCTGTCGGCTCTTTCCCATCTTAGCCAGGAACTCCGCTCACCCTGGATTCAAAGCAGGGAGATCACACTCTGACCTCTTCTTCCCCAACCCTTGGGAGGGGGCTTCATGTAGACCTGGGCTAGAAGTGGCATGGGATGGATTTCAGGAGGAGGCTGAATCCAGAGAGGCAGGACCAGGCCTGGGCAACTGGGGTGGGCCCTTCCTGTGAGACAGCGTTTAAAGGGGGTCCAGCTCCCTGGTCCGAGGCTGACCAGCTGAGCATGACACCGAAGGGCTGAGCCAGTGCTGAGATTCCAAAGATGGTGCCGGCACACATGGTGATGTCCAGCGACCCCTGTGACCCTCTCTCTCTCTTCTCCAACAGGTGTGCGTCTTGACCGAGTGCGTGGAGGCCGCCAGAAGTACAAGCGGCGGCTGGATTCAGAGAGCAGCCCATATCTGAGCTTGCAAATTTCTCCACCCGCTAAAAAGCCATGTACGTACCAGGCCCGTCCATGCCCTTTCCCAGTATGTGTGCCTGGGACATCTGGTGTCCTGTGGGGAGAGGGCCTGGAGCAGGGTGGGTCTAAGGGAGGGGTGCTATTGCCTGGTTCCCCCAGAAGGCCTCTCCAAGAGGGGTAGACCCCGATCGAGGCTGGGAATGAGACAGGGTCCCAAGAAGTCACAGGTCCCAGCATCCAGACCTGCCCTCTTACCAACCCACGGTCAGGCTGCAGGGTCCTCGCTGGAGAACTCACCAGAACTCCCATGGATAGATACTTCTCAACCACAGGTCACTGCTGTTAGCCACTCTGTGTTCCAGCCCCAGGTGACCTGAGGCTCTGCCTGACTTCCCTCCTTCACCGTCTGGGCTCCACCTGCCCTTCCCTCTTGCCTGGGTATTTACCTTGTCCCCTTTTGTCACTGCAGTGACCAAGATTGTCTCATACCTACTGGTGGCCGAGCCAGACAAGCTGTACGCCATGCCCCCACCTGGTATGCCTGAGGGGGACATCAAGGCCCTCACCACGCTCTGTGACCTGGCAGACCGGGAGCTAGTGGTCATCATCGGGTGGGCCAAGCACATCCCAGGTGAGTCATGGGGCCCCACGGAGAGTGTGGCGAGGGGCATTCGGCCGATTCCTGGGGGACCGGTGCATGTCCAGGAGGCCTGATTTCAAGTCTGTTCTTCCCTGGGAGCCTGCTCTTCCCAGTGGGGTCGGAGAGGCGCCCATGTCTGGAAGGTCCACTGGTGTTCACCAGCTGCTCGGGGTTCTTTGGAACTGTTTATCATTCTGGATGGGGCTGTGATTAGATCTGCAATTGGTAATATTCAAAGAATAAGTTCCTCGAATCCTTGAAGGATAAAGAGCAGGGTTTTCTTCTAGACCTTATTGGAATCACATGGAAAGCAGCTCGCAGGAGGTGAGCGTCCCTTCCTCCATATTAGAGGCAGGCAGAGAGGGGTAGTTCGGAGCAGCGACTGGGGGATCAGATCGGATTCACAGTCTGGGTCTGCAGCCTTCGGGTGCCTCATCTGTGGCTTTGACATGAGGAGGAGATGAGAGCATGGCACGGAGCATCGGGCACGGGGCCTGGCACGTGCCAGTGTCAGCTGCATGCTCACAGTGGCCACCTGCCAGAGCCCTTTGCTGGGGCTGCTTCTTTTTTGGGGTGGGGGTACCGGGGATTGAATTCAGGGGCACTCGACCACTGAGCCACATCCCCAGCCCTATTTTGTGTTTTAGTAGAGACAGGGTCTCACTGAGTTGCCTAGCACCTCGCTTTTGCTGAGGCTGGCTTTGAATTTGTGATCCTCCTGCCTCAGCTTCCCGAGCCGCTGGGATTACAGGCCAGAGATGCCTCTTTGTATGAATGAAACTGTGAATCTAAGGCATTTCTGGCATGGGAAGTATGTGCCACCTGGACCCATGCCCCGCTGTAAGCCTCCAGGCAAAGGGTGTGAGCTGATTATTTTCTTTGTGCAGACACCAATGTCCCCGTGATTCTACATCCACACATCTGGGACCTTCCTGCTCCTGGTGCTTTTTACTCCACTCCTTTGTTCAACAGTGTGACTCAGGGCGAGGAGACCTTCATCCTGTTACCCTCTGGCAGGGACCCTGCTGTAGACTCAGGCTCTAGCTGTGAGACAACATTCCCACATTCCCGACTGCACATTGTTTCTTTTTTCCGCTTGTCTCAGCCCTGAGAGGTGAATACAGCATGCATGATGATATAGCAAAGGTGTCCTAGCCTTCAAATGCCAAGCCTCAGGTTGATTGAGGTGAATCAGAAAGTCCCGCGTGAGCCTTTGCAACAACAACGGACAGGAGGGAGCCTTCATGGGATGGGGGCTCACACAGAGAGACTGGGTGACCTGGAGGTGCTATTGGCTGACCGCTAGCTGGCAGGAAGCCTGGGGGACTCCCTGGTGGCCCTGGACATTCCGACTCTGGCGAGTTTGCCAGGGACCTGGCTGGTGTGCCCTTGCTAAGGAGCTCAGCCTCCTGGAGATTATACACTGAGTAGTTTTTCAATCTGCCCAGTGCTGGCTCAGCACAGATATGGGGTCAGGCCACTGCTAAGACCCCTCAGCCTGGATTGCTCCACTAACCTAGGGCCAAACTGCGCACGTCTACCCCTGACTGTCCCCATACCCCTATTCCTGGTCAAGCAGATACTGCATCCTAGAGATGGCTCAGGAGTGGCGCCTGGCGGTTCCTTCCATCACCCCACTCCCATAACACTTCCTACAGAGGGGAGTAGGACCAGGAGAGTCCGTCTCCCTGCCCCCATTCTTCTCCCATCTGGGAGGGGCAGGGCAGAGTGGTTGCTGGGGACATGGAGCAGGTGGCCTGGGTTCCAACCCAGCTCTGTCCTCCCTGGCCTTGTGTAAGATACCTGGCTTTCCCAAGCTTTAGTGTCCTCATCTGTAAGATGGGGGTCCTGATGGAGTCCCCGTGGGGGGACGCAGCCCATCCCGTGGCCACTTGGTGATGCCAGACGGTTGCCATGGTCGTCATCGTCACCCGTGGGATCTCCGTCGTTTCTCCTCATCCAAGGTTGAATGCCTTTGGGTTAAAAGAATAAAATAAATATAGGGGCTCATTTGTCTGTCCCAATTGCGAATTTTCCTACTTGGCATTAATCTGCCAGCTGAATTATTTGCATCTGACCTTCCAGTGTTTAAGGTAAAATTAATTAGTGAAGTCTTCTGTCCCCGCATGCAGACCTCACGGTACGGACAGCGGCACCCACTGCCCAGTGTTTAAACTAGTTGACTTAATCCCGTCTCAGATGAGATGGTGAGCTAGCCCTGAGAGAGAGAGAGAGACAGACAGAGAGAGAGACGGGCAGGCTGGAGGCCACCCTGAGACTGTGTTGGCTCCTAGCCACTTTGTTTCTGGGATGGACAGAAAGAAGAACTGGCCACTTCAGACTGCTCAGGACTAGATCTCTGGAGAGGCTGCTGTCTTAAGCAACAGGAGACCATGTCCCTTGCTTTAGTATCTTCCAGTCTCTAGTCCAAGGCCAGGCACACAAAAGAGCACTACACACTTGGCCTTGGTGTGCACAAAGTGAGCACTCACTGTATGTAGGGTCTCCTGCTTGGAGTTATACCTGGGACAGGAGTTGTAGGAGGGCTCTTCGTTTGTGGGAGATATGCTCCAAGAACCCCCTTGGAGGCCTAAAACCATGGATAGTTCCAAATCCTGTCCAAATACAGTATTGTTCCCTGTATGCACTGCTGCACAGTGTCAGAGTTAGTCTGCTCTTCTGTGTTTTATGCTCTGGTGCCTCCTTTGTGTTTTTGCTCTTGTGCTTTGGGACCATCATTAAACAAGGATGCTTGAACATATGTACTGTGTCAGTTGCCCTGGTAACTTAGATGTCTACTAAGTGGTGAATAGGGTGGGTAGCATATACAGTGTGGATACACTGGAAAAAGAGATTATTCGTGTCCTGGGCGGAATAGAGCAGGACGGCATGAGGTTTTGTCATCGGTCTCAGAATGTTATACAGTTTAAATTTGACCCATCATTTATTTATGGAATTTCCCACTTAATATTTTTGAATGGTAATCGGCCTCAGATAACTGAAACTTTAGAAAGTGAAACCTCAGATAGGAGAATGGACTACTGTAGATTAATTTCTGCCCCAAGGATCTCACTGGACCAAGGACGAGTTCCACGGGGAACTCAGGGAGGGTTGTGATTTGCTCAGAATGGCAGCCCTAGTTCAGTTCAGTCTGAGGTTGAATTGGTCAAGTATTGGGCTGCTTGAAGGGTAAGCGTCTTCAGAGTGCCCACCTCTTATTTCC